TGTCTGGAAAACCCTCTCACACTGAAACAGGTTGTGGGAGGGGGGCTTGGACTTGGAAATTGGATTTTTTTGTGGGTCTCAAACCACCACAGCAATGATCACAGTAGTCAATACCACTGTAGTAACTGGCTTTGACAGTAACGTTTTTCATCCGTTATTGCTCTAGCACAGTCCTCCTTGTTCTTTTTTTGCATGCTTCAGGGGTACAACTCCCCTGGATGCCTTTCTCAACCCTGCCAAGGACAAAGCCACCTTTGTTTCATCCTTTCCTTTTAGCTTGTGAAACTTCTTGATTGTAGCCTTTGTACTTCAGCCAATATTTAGGTATTCATGCTGATGCCTTTGAATTTTTAGGATTTTTAGCTTTTGTAGATTTTAATGTAGCTGTATAGTCTGTCACACTTTAGAATTGTAGTTAATGCTTACCAAACCCTATTCCCCCATTTCATATCAAATTTTCTAAATTCTTTAAGCTTGTTTAGGCTAAAGACTGTACTAAACACCTCCTGTTTAAGAATATTTTCACCCCAGGCCTGATCAACAAGATACCGTCATAGTCAAAGCAACCTTCAAGCCTGGAACCTTGGAGAAGCTCCAAAGACAGTACGTGCCATGAAGAAGAGGAAGAAAGGGGTCTTAGGACCTCCAACTCAATTTTGGGGGAGGTGTACCTGAGGGGCAGACCTGGGAGTGGGTGGATCTCGGATTGGACCATAAATTGTGGAACCTGTGGACACGGGGTAGACATGCCTTTTCGTACTCCTTGTGCCAGAAGCCCTTCATTAAAGAGCTGTTCTGTATCTTATCTCTACTAAATTTGCCTGGATTTTTTTCTGCTCCCGATCTTTAGGCAACAATGCCATTATCCATTCTTCAAAAGTAGGATGTTGACTACAGCTAACTTCTCTCTCTCCACTGATTTGTTCACTGAGAAGTGTTTTCTTGTGCTGCATCATGAGTGCAAGGTCACAGAATCACAGAATGGTTAAAGTTAGAAGGGACCACAGTGGGTCTTCTCGTCCAACTTCCCTCTTCAAGCAGAGTTATCTTAGAGCACATGGCAGAAGATCACACCCAGATGGTTCTTGAATATCTCCAGTGAGGGAAACTCCCTCCAGTGAGGGAGACTCCACAACCTCTCTGGGCAATCTGTTCCAGTGCACAGTCACTCCCACAGTAAGTTATGAGTAAGTTACTTCTTCCTCATATTCAGGTAGAACTTTCTGTACATCAGTTTCTTCCCATTGTGTCTTGTTCTATTGCTTGACATCACCAAGAAGAGCCTGGTTTCATCCTCTTGACACGTTCCATTCAGATATTTACAGACATTGATGAAGCTCCCTCTCAGCCTTATCTTCTCAAGGCTGAACAGGCCCAGCTCTCTCAGCCTTTCCTTAGAAGAGAGATGCTTCAGACCCTTAATCATCTTTGGGACCCTCCACTGGACCTGCTCCAGAAGCTCCACATCTCCCTTGTCCTGAGGAGCCCAGAACTGGACACAGCACTCCGGATGTGGCCTCACTGGGGATGAGTAGAGGGGCAGGATCACCTCCCTTGTCCTGCTGACAGTGCTCTTCCTAATGCATCCCAGGATACAATTGGCCACCTTGGCCACCAGGACACACTACTGGCTCATGGAGAGCTTGTTGTTCACCAGGACCTCCAGGTCCTTCTCCACAGAGCTGCTTCCCAGTATGTCAGCCCCAAACCTGTACCGGTACTTGGGGTTATTCCTCCCCAGGTTCAGGACCCTGCACTTCTCTTTGTTGAATTTCAGACAGGTCTCTGCCCATCCCTCCAATCTGTCAAGGGCAGCACAGCCCTCTGGAGTATCGACCACTCCCCCGAGCTTTGTATCATCAGTGAACTTGCTCAGATGGCATCTGCCCCTTCATCCAGGTCACTGATGAAGAAGTTAAACAATACAGGGCCCCGTATAAAACCTTTGAGGGCACCACTAGTAACAGGCCTCCAGCTAGACCCTGTGCTACTGTGATGATGACCCTCTGGGATCTGCTATTCAGCCAGTTCTCAATCCACCTCACTGTCCACTCATCCAGGCCTCACTTCCTGAGTTTAGCTTTGAGGTTATTCTGAGACACAGTGTTGAATGCCATTCTGAAGTTGAGATAGACAGTATCCACTTCTCTCCCCTCATGCATCCGGGTAGTTGTTTCATCGTAGAAGGTAATCAGGTTGGTCAAGCATGGTTTCCCTTTGGTGAATCATCAAGAAGGTGAATCCATCACCTTCTTGTCATCCATGTGGATAGGAAACTGACAGAGACAGGATTAAACAAACACTTCTTCCAAGGGAGATCAGACAGGACACAAAGGCTTTGCTTCAGGGTAACACCAAGTTAAAAGGCGTTGAAAAACATGCTTGGGAAGTGGAGATGTGGAGATGAACAACCACAGCCAGTCAAGTCACATCTGGGCTACCTGAGCCATGTGATTCTTCACTGATGTCTTCACCTAAGTCTGTAATTGTGCAACTGTATGGTGCACTGGTTCAGGAAAATTAAGTAAATGGGTCTTTACTAAAACACTAGTTTTAGTGTTGCCAGTAAGGTGGCAGTAAGGTAAGCCTTCTGATCTGGCCCATCATGCAGTCAGAGAGCATAAAGGTTACCAAAAAGAGGGGAAACATACAGCTGCAGGAGGAGAATGTAGTGAAATTGCAGCAGCCCAAGATTTAATCAGCTTTAATTTCTGTGGAATCACACCTTTAATCACCCAAGCAAACTCTCTTTATTTTTAGTGTTATCATATATTGGTTTTCCTAAGTTTTTAACACATATAGGTCAGGAAAAAAAAAATCCAGGCCTGTGTCTTATGCTGTGAAAGTGCTGGATTAAAACAGTTGTGTCTGCTTGATGCTGGTGTGACCTGTCCACTGTTTGGAAAATCAAGCTTCCCATTATTAATGTTCAAAATCCAGAATTACTAATGCTAAGTAGAATATTGCATTGCTATCCAGATTGATAAGACTATCTAATTTTCACCCAGCAAAAAAGATCCACAAACCTGTAGTGAAGATGGATTTACACACTAGACTCTCCTTGCTCTGCATTTCCTGCCAGTCACATCAAAGAGCTGAAAGAATGTTAGGGAGCTTTCACACATAAAACAACAATCTCTTGCACAGTCACAAGCCTCAGCTATTTCTTTCATATAAACTCTCTTTCAGAATTGACAGAATTACAAATTGATAACTAAAATCAGAAAAGTAATTGAATCAAAAGAGACAGGAAAGAAAAAGTATTTTCCTGTTGAAGTTCAATATTAAAGAAATGAAGGTTCAAGAAGGCTGGTAAGAGGAGGAGCTGAAAAAGAAAAAAAAGCCAAACATACTCTAGCTCAATTACTTACTACGTGTGAGTGACTGTTTTACAGATTCATGAATTTCTGAAGGCTGTATAGAGTCATCAATGACTGCACAGTTTGGTCCTTTTATACAGTGTAGTCTGTAGAGGTTTGCCTAGTTGTTCCTGCTGCAAGCACATAATTTTTCATTGAACTAGAGCCTATGTTTAGAAAAGGCCTTTAGGGCTGACTCAAGGACTTTAAGTGAAGCAGACCCACTGTGCCTTTAGGGTATTGTTCCAGTTGCTTCCCACCCTCAGGGTTAAGCATTCATTTTTTCAGATGGAATATGTTTGGCTTTAACTTGCAACACCTATGGAAAATTTCTATCCCAACAGGTTTCAAGGCTTTTTCAAAGTTTTAAAATACATCTATATAGAAATTGTCTTCCACTTCCTTTTTAAATCCTGCTTTGGTGGTCAGACACAAGTCTTTCACAGAATCATAGAATCATATATAAATAGAGTTGGAAGGGACCCAAAAGAATCATCAAGCACACAATAGCTCTAGCTAGGACTCGAACTAAATACTTAGAAAACAGCGAGAGCTGCCAGGAGTAAGGGAGAGGAGGATTTAGGAAAGTGGAATGCTCTTAGAAGTCAGAACGTTTCATAGAGCTAATGGAACACTTGAAAGCCTACAGAAAGCACTCTGGACTGAGAAATTAAGAGTTCTGGTGAGAAGCTTAATACTGGCCCTATCCAAAAGATAGTATCACTCTAGCTGCTGGCTGAAGTGTAGCAACACATGACAGTTTCAACCCTTTGACATTTCTGATAACTGTCCAGCATCCTGCAGTGAAGAGCTTTTACTGAAAAGGTTCCCTTGCAAGGTGTCAGCCTAGGGTGGTATCTTTGGCAGGAAAACCTCCCATCTGATAGCCTAGTTCTGGACAACACAGTGACACAATTATTGAAGGTGCAATATTCAGTAATATTTATCCAGCAATTGTAGCTTTTGTAAGTGTCTTTGATGGGAGTACTGAAAAAGGGTGAAATCTCAGACTTACTGTAACAGGGAGAGTTCGGAGGATACTGCAGCTGAAACCATAACACCATTGAAAGCTCAGCAAAAACTGTTATTTATTACCAAGAGCTAGCCAACAAAACGAACAAACCCGAAAGAGAGGAAGGAGGAGGAAAATAAGCCCTTGGTACGACTCCCCCAGTTACCCAGGTGTTGCCTATAAAGTCATGTTACCGACTCAGAATACCTAGAATTACCCATAGCAGAAGCTGCATTCCCGGAGAGTCAGCAGGCTTACAAAATAGCAGGCATCCCCACGAAAGGCAACGTTGTCCTTGATGTGAAGCTTGCTGCCAACCTCCAACAAGAGCTAACTGCTTTTATACAATTAACTGAGTGACGTCTACCTGGGCTGGTGTGGCCAGTACCGGCCCGCTAGAGGCCCTCAGTCCCACTCCCTGGTTATGCAAGTGGGATCTTTTCTGCACATGCGTGAGTAACTCAGGATTCCCCTTGCGCATGTGTGTTATTCCTCAGGGGTCTTTTCTAACTAAGTCTAGGGGTTTTACTTCATCTCCCTCTTCTTTGCTTTGCCTTTCAAGTGCCCTTGAAAGGCAATTAATCAATCAGAAGACAGCAATTAATTTGAGTTTATGCAAGATACTTACTTCAAGGACGAAGTTCCCGTTTATCAGTGCTTGTTTTCTCATAACTTGGCAGGAAAAAGATAAACTCACAGGTGGCTGGGCCAAACACAGACCAAAAGTATCAGTGTTTAATTAAGCCCTGATACACTTATCCAGCAATGACTTTTAAGTGTGACTTCAGAGCATATAATTTACCTGTTCTACCTCTGTTTTTATGGATGCGGCTGAACCCCCATTATACCAATAATGACGTATATTACCAAGAAGTCTCTCTACTAGTGTCTCAGGACACCTCCTTCAATCAATGACCAAATGTTGGGGAAAAAAAAAAATACAGAGAAACAAGGGTCAATGTGTCTTTTCCCTTGATTTTGTATTCTTCATTTGTGCCATTGATCCAGAAAAAGTCACTGACAGGGAATTAAGTTTATTTTAAGAGCTCTCTAAATGCAAACCCAGTGATTGGTTTGAAAGAAGGTTACAAAAAAAATCAAACTGTCATTTGTAGCTCACTGAGGCCCTGCTCTTTGAACCCGTTTCCAAGAAGGCTGTGTCCGCTCTCTTTTTACTTAAGTTTCCTTTACGGGCACTCACTCTTGGGAGTAGTGATATAGAGACTGTGACCATCAGCATCATCCCTCAAAGATGTAACCGGGTGGATCTTTGTAAGAGGCCATGCATCACTGTGAGCGAATGAGGTGCATGATGGGTCTGAAAAGTAGTCAAGAAATATATTATTTTTGCTAGGAAAGTCAGCTCCGGAGCATGAGTGATAGGTTTTAATTTCTTGCACAGCCAAGGCTTATATTCTTCTTTTATTACAGAAGAGCTAATGAATGGCTCAGTAATTTTTTTAATGTGGGCCAAAGGCTGACACATCTTGGCTGGCTTACCATTTGGGTGCTTGTAATATATCTGAGTAGTGGTGTAAAGGTCCATTATTTCCAGAGGAGGAAGATATACATCAGGTTTTCTGGTGAATAGAGGAGGGCCCTGTAATTTAAAAAGATTTGCTCTCAGTCACACTAGGAATCTGTCACAAAGCTGCCTAACTGTCTGACCAGTGCTGCAGCCACAAGACTGTGGTTTTTTACCCTTCCTAGCAACTTTTTACCCTTCCTAGCAACTTCCCCTAGAGAGCATTATGGTTACTGGTAGGAAGTTGAAATTAAATAGTCTTGGAGCTAACCCAAGGTGGTTTTTGTTGGTTGTGTTGTTTGGGATTTTTTTCCCTCCTTCCAAACCACACTAAGGGTCATGAGGCAAATAAGCTTCCAGCTAACTTTGCACTGGAAGGAAGTTTAGATTTCAAAGTATTATAGAGTAAATGATGCAATTAGGTATCAGCATATTTGAACTCTATTCCAAACAGAGTTTGCCCTCTGGCAAAGGCGCTCTTGTTTCTCTAGGGCAAAAGGAGATGTCCAGACACCACTGCAGCAGTGAGATGCTGACCTTGTGCCCATGTCCAGGCACATCATTTTGCTGGAGTAATGGTCCAACAGGATGAACCATGAGTATATACATAAACAGATGTGTTATTGCAGCAGAAGCATTAATAAAGTATTAAAAAGTGAAAAACCTATGAGGTTCAGCCCATCTCTAAGGAAAGGCTTGTTCAGAGATCTCACATTTCAGATGCCAACCAAGAGTTACCAAAAAGCTTTTTAGGTTCCATCTTTGCTGGAAAACAGTCTAAGCATTTTAGATATAACCTCAGCTCTTGCAAAATATTCAGAATATGATAAGCAAGTCCATCTGTCTTAGGCATTATGAATTTATTTTACTTTGTGTAAGCCAGCAGTGCTACTATTCCTTCAAAATATGTTACAGTTTTATCGTAACTCTAATTCTTATCTCACAGATATTAATAGTCTCCCATGTAGCACAATCTTGAAAACATTAGGGGGTACAGGAGGGAATGGAGGATATGAACCATATGTTGTTGGAGGGTTAGGCAAGACCTATACCCAACCAAGACTAAATTAAAATTAGATTACATATCTGCAGACAGACAGAGGCAGCTATGTGTGTAGCCTGGAGGAGATGAGAATTTTGAAACCTTAAGTTGCAAAATCATCTGACATGAACTCTGATATGCAATAGCATCATCTTAAACTTACAGTGTCATTTGGGATATGGTGTGTTTAATCGGAAGGAACATGACTATACAGTAGGAAAGGTAATTTAATACCAATGCAGCAATATTATATATGCTGTTCAAATATTTCAGTTGCAATAATTAATTGAATAGAATGTTTCAAATTTTCACACTTGAGTAGGCGTGCTGGTTTCAGCTGGGGTAGAGTTAATTTTCTTCACAGTGTCTTGCATGGGGCAGTGTTTTAGATTTGTGCTGAACACAAGACTGGTAATACAAAGATGTATTTTTTATTGCTTCACAGAGTGAAGGCCTTTTCTGCTTTTCACACTGCCACACTGGTGAAGAAGTTGGGGGTACGTGGAAGGCTGGGAGGAGACACAGCTGGGACAGGTGACCCAAACTGACCAAAGGGATACTCCAGACCATATAATATCATACTCAGTATGTAAAATGAGAGGAAGAAGGAGGAAGTGGGGGATATCGGGACTGATGGTGTTTGCCTTCCCAAGTAACAGTTGCATGTCATGGAGCTCTGCTTTCTGGCCAATGGCTGAACGTCTGCCTGCCCATAGGAAGCAGTGAATGAATTCCTTGTTTTGTTTTGCTTGTGTGCATAGCTTTAGCTTTACCTATCAAATTGTCCTTATCTCAACCCATGAGTTTTCCAGCTTTTACCCTTTCAGTTCTCCCCGTGATCCCACTGGTGGGGCAGTGAGTGAGTGGCTGCATGGGTCTTGGTTGATGGCTGAGGTTAAACCACAACAGTAGGGATCAGTAAAACCTAGCAACGCTTAGAGAATAGCACAGTGAAAGCCTGTATGTTTTGTTGAACCTGGGCCTTTAAAAGAAAATTCATTCAGTATGCAGCTTGATTTTTGAGGGGGTTTGGGCAAAGATTTCCATTTGCAGTGTTTTGAAAAATACTGCAAATTATAACCAAATGTGTCTGTGATACATTTTATTAGAGCTCTGGAGCTACAGCTAAGGTGCTGACCTAAACACCTACAAAAGACGAAGTTATATATCTGTTTCAGATACAAAGAAGTTAAGGATATCAAAACATAGAAAGAAAGATCCTTCACTTGCACTAAGCAGCCTTCTTTTATTGGTTTCACTGAAGCTATTCCAATGAATACTGTCTGTTGACATTGCCTATGCAGAACTAGGTGTTCAAAATTGTGTAAATGTGGGTATTTTGCACTTGTGGGTCATAGGCTTCACAAATCAAGTCATTCTAAATAAGGAGCATTTCCTGTGTGCTTAGTGTAAAAATTGCAGTTTATGGTGTTGCAAACATGCAGCTGCACTAAAGTCTGACTTTCACTCATTTCAGCCAGGTAATTTTAATGCTGCATTCACATACCTTTCCCAACTTCCTAACTCCCTATATCATTTTGAATTTTAAAAAATAAATTGCCTCTGTACATTGGGACAAATCTCAGTGTCAGCACCAATCATAAGCTGTTACATTTGCACAGCATTATAAAAATAAAATAAAATAAGTAAAAATAGTTTAAGAAATACACAAATTCTAACTATCTGCCTACCCATGTTAGCTAGCTGAAAGGTGTGCAGAGGGGAGGGAAAATCCTCTAAACTTTCTACTTATGACTTACTACCTAAACTAGCATGGTTGTTGTAACTGTGTGACTGAATGTTTTCTCCCAGTGCATGCAGAAGAGAATTTCTGCTAATTGAACCGGAATTTTCTGAGGACTCCTTGACAAACCCCACATGGTGACTGCCCCTCCTTGCCTGCCTTAAGAGGACACCAATGAGCCCACAGTTTAGTCATAGGCAGACACAAAGCTGCCTAGCTGCTTTGGTTCATTCTGGAGATAGAAGGCATTTATAGAAGTGCAGGCTGCTCTTTAAAACCCGCTGATCCTTTCTATTGTTTCTGAAAACTTCCACAGAAACAGAGACATCCCAAATGTGAGTAAGTTGGACATTTCAAACTTCATCAATCACATTTGTGATTAAATCAACAGTAAAAAGGCATAGGTAGGGAAAGAAGTTGGCAGAGTTCTATGTCAGGATGGGTACTGCAGGAGCTGGTAGAAGACCTCACCAAGCTACTCTGCATTATTTACCAGTGGTCCTGGCAAACTCAGGAAGTCCCAGTAGAACTGGATGTTAGTAAATGTGATGCCCATCTACAAGAAAGGCTGGAAGGAGGACCTGGGGAACTAGGCCTGTTAGCCTGACCTTGGTGTCAGAGAAGGTCATGGAGCAGACCTTCTCGAGTGTCAGCTTGTCACAAATGCAGACAACCAGAGGATCAAGTCCAGCGAGCATGGGTTTGTGAAAGGCAGGTCCCAGGTTCTGCTTGACCTACCTGATCTCCTTCTATGACAAGGTGACCTGGTTAGTGGATGAGAGAAAGGCTGTCTATTTGGACTTCAGTAAAGCCTTTGACACCATCTTTCACAGCATTCTCCTGGCATAACTGATTGCTCCCTGGCCTGGACAGGTGCATTCTTTGCTGGGTAAAAAACTGGCTGGATGGCAAACCCCACAGCATTGTGGTGAATGGAGTTACATCCAGCTGGTGGCCCATCACCAGTGGGTGTTCCCCAGAGCTCAGTACTGGAACCAGTTCTGTTTAACGTCTTTACTGATGACCTGGACAAGGGAATCGAGTGCACCCTCGGTCCATTTGCAGATGGTACTAAGTTGGACAGGAGTTGATCTAATGTTGATCAGATGACACTAAGTTGGTCTGCTGGAGGGCAGGAAGATTCTAAAAGTTATCTGGATAGGCTGGATCCATGGGCCCAGGCCCACGGTATGAGGTTCAACAAGGTAAAATGCCAGTTCCTGCCCTTTGGTCATGAGAGAGACTGAAAACCTGAAAGCCTTAATGTAAACCTGACAGAGTTAATGTCTCAGACATCCAGTAAAAGAGAAAAGGAATGTTACCACACTGACTGGATAAGGTGCTAGATAAGGTGCGGTTAGAAAAGAGCATCTTGGGAGGCAGTATAGCCCTTTTCTGGGACCAACTTCCTTATCTTGGGTAATTATCTCTAAAAACAAGTTCGATGCAGCATTACAATTTTGGGGGGAGGGGGTTTGAAACCACAAGCCCCTCCAATATCCTTCTGAAAAGCTTGAGAATAACAAAATGTGTATGTGCAAAAACTAGTCTGTAAATAGTGGGGCTGTGAACCCACCCTCTGTTTACCTGCCATCCAGAGGAACCAGACTAGTGACAGTGCTGGAACCCTGGATGGTAACCCAGATCTTTCTTCTCTACCTCTATTTCCCTATCTTTTTCTTTCTCTCCTCAAAAGTTTAAATTGCTGCTGCTACAGGCTGTTAAAAGATCTCTGTTGCTGCATGTTTTCAAAAAAGTTTAACCCCCGACCTGTTTACAAATGTTTAAATCATTCCTGCTACAGGCCATTCAATCTATCATAAGGTTTAAATCATTCCTGCAAGAAATAAAGCTTTTTAATTGATCGTTTGGCATTGTTTCACCTTAATTTTGCCCAAGGTATCCTGAACATTGGCTACTTCAGAGTAGGCAGTCCAGGACTGCCCTCTAGGGATCCGACAGGTCACAACATCCCAGGCAGTGCTACAGGCTGGAGGAAGAGTGGCTGGAAAGCTGCCCAGAGGAAAAGAACCTGGGGATGCTGGTTGACAGTAGCTGAACATGTCCCAGCAGTGTGCCCACGTGGCCAAGAAGGCCAATCGCATCCTGGCTTGCAGCAGAAATAGTGTGGCCAGCAGGACTAGGGAAGGGATCACCCCCTCTACTGTAACAGGGAGACTACCGGGGTGAAACAATTAACACTGCTCAAAGTTCAACAAAACAGCGTTTATTACAAAGAAGTAGCAAAGAAAACGAGAAACCGAGAAAAAGGAAAAGGAAACAAATCCAAGACAACCCCCGACTCACTCAGGTGTTATTCACAAGGTTGTCGAATATACCAACCCCAGAATGTTCAAGATTCTCAATATAATGAGCTTCTGCATTCTCAGGGTATCAGTAGGCTCAACACGTTGTCAGGCATCCCTATGAGGAAAACGTGGTCTCCAATGCCAAGCATGCTGCCTCTCCTGAGAAAAAAACCTGTCTGCTTTTTATACAGTTAGTCTGTGATGTCTGCCGGGGCAAGTGTGGCCAGTACCGCCCAGTTAGAGGCCTTCAGTCCCTCCCTCCATTATGTAAGTGATACCCCTCCCGTGCCTGCATGCTGCACATGGAGGGTCTTTCCTAATGAGTCTAGGGGCTTACTTCAACACCCTCCTCTTCACTTTCTCCTCCAATTGTCATTGAAGAGCCATCAGCCAATAACCAGGCTCCAATTAATTTCAGTTTACTCAAGATGCTTCCTTCAAGGATGAAGTTCCCCTTTATCAGTGCTTGTTTTCTCACGACTTGGCAGGAAAAGAACAGACTCTCACAGGTGGCTCGGCCAAACACAGACCACAGGTAACAGTGTCTAATTAAGAATGAATACATCTACTCAGCACTGGTGAGGTTGCACCTTGAATCCTGTGTTCAGTTTTGGCCCCTCACGACAGGAAGGACGTTGAAGTGCTGGAGCATGTCCAGAGAAGGAAAACAGAGCTGGTGAAGAGTCTGAAGCATAAGTCCTATGAAAATGGCTGAGAGAGCTGGGGTTGTTTAGCCTGGAGGCACATGATGAGGGCTCTGGAAAGACCTTATTGCTATCTACAACTACCTGAAAGGAGGATGTAGCCAGGTGGGGGGTTGATCTCATCTCCCAGTCACAAGCAACAGAATGAGAGGAAATGGCCTCAAGTTGCACCGGGGGAGGTTTAGGTTGGTTATTAGGAAAAATCTCTTCAGAGAAAGGGTCATCAAACATTGGAATAGGCTGCTGAAGGACATGGTCACCATTCTGGAGATATTTAAAAGACATGTAGATGTGGCATTGGGGGACTTAGTGTAGTGGTGGGCTTGTTAGGTTAATGGTTGGACCTAATAATCTTAGGCCTTTTCCAACCTAAATTATTCTATGAGGACAAATGGTAGTGTTAGCTGTTAAGACTTTTTTAATAGCCCCTGGCATCTCTAATTCAGTTCAGCAAAGGCAAAAGTGATATTGCTCAAGACTGTGAGGAAGAAAATAGGAAGTAAACAACAAGATTAGGCAGCAGCAACTGTTTTGGGAAAGGGAAGCTATCAGATTCATATTAAAAGATCAGATTCCTATTTTTTATTAGCTCCTACTGTGGACAAGTGCTTGCAATATCACTACCAGCAGCAAGGAAGTAAATTTCATCAGGGAAAGGGGCACATTGTAAATATGAGGACTTTCAAACATCAAGACTATGAAACAACAAAACTGAACAAAAGAAACAGCCCAGCAATCTACAGCAACTGTCCTGAGGAAATGTCCACACTTCCTTTCCAATCATCAAGATCACCATATTCAGGCCTCCTTGGAAATCAGGCACTCATGTTACTGTGTACAAAGTACCACACCAAGTGCAGAACAAAAGAATACTCCTCCAGTAACATCAATATCTCCTAGACAACATTTCTTCTGGTTTCCCAGAACCCTCTCCAATCCAGAAAGTAAGTAAAAGCCAAGACCTTGGTTGTCCTTCTATGGCCATGTATTCTCTGATTATATCACGTCTCAAACTCTAGAAGTGCAAGAAAATGCTGCTTGCCTCCACTATAATAAGTGGCTTCAGACAGACCTTCATGCCATCTTCACACAGCCCTCATCACTGTACCACTGCATTGTTGTTCTTGTCAGGCTCCCCTTGTGAAGACCAATAATTTTTTCTTTTCTCCATTACCCAACTCTCACACATACATTATCTAAGTCCTTACTCTATTTTTCATACTTGGCAGTTAAGATGCCATCTGTGCCTTCTTGTACACTTCTTTTGGCTTAAATGAGCCTTTGGGAACAGTGAAGGGATAAAGGGAGTATCACTCCACATACTTCAATGGAATGCAGGGCTTCTTACTCTTTTTATAGAGCCCAATGGGTAGGTGTGGCCAATGATGACATCTGCAAGGGACAAAAACAGCACAGGAGTTAGACACTCACAGGTAGCTGATTAATAGGAGCTCACTTTATAAGTCAGCCACAGAGTCTCTGGAAATGCCCAAGGCCAAGGTTGGATGGGGTTTTGAGCAAACTGTTCTAGTGGAAGGTAATCCTGCTCAGGACAGAGGGATTGGACATAGGTGATATTTAAGGTCCATTAAACCTTAACAGTAGTCCAAACTCCCTGCCAAGGCAGGATCACCTAGAGCAGGTGACACAGGAACTCATCCAGGTGGGTTTTGAATGTCTCCAAAGACGGAGACTCCACAGCCTCCCTGGGCAGCCTGTTCCAGTGTTCTGCCACTCTCAGTGTAAACAAATTCTTCCTCATGTTACTGTGGAACTTCTTGTGTTTTAGTTTATGGCCACTGCTCCATGTCCTGTCACCGGGCACCACTGAAATGAGCCTGGCACCATCTTCTTAACATCCACCTTTGGGAGATCTGTACATATTGATGAGATTCCCTCTCAGTCTTCTCTTCTCCAGACTAAACAGGCCCAGCTCCCACAGTCTCCACTGGACCCTCTACAGTACCTCCATGTCTCTCTGGTACTGAGAAGCCCAGAACTGGACACAGCACTCCAGATGTGGCCTCACCAGGGCCAGTAGAGGAGGAGGATCACCTCCCTCAGCCTGCTGGCCACACTCTTCCCAATGCACCCCAGGATACCATTGGCCCTCCTGGCTGTAAGGGCTCACTGCTGGCTCACAGTCAACTTATCATCCACCAAGACTCGCAGGTCCTTCTCTGCAGAGCTGCTCTGGGACTGGTCAGTCCCCAGCTGCACTGGTACTTGGGGTTATTCCTCCCCAGGTGAAGGACCATACACTTGGCCTCGTTGAAGTTCATTAGGTTTCTCTCTGCTTGACTCTCCAGTCTATCAAGGTCTCATTGAATGGCAGCACAGCCTTCAGGTGTTATCAGCCACTGACCTTAGTTTAATGTCATCATCAAACTTGCTGAGGGTGCCCTCAATCCCTTCATCCAGACTGTTAATAAATAAGTTGAATAAGACTGGACACAGTGTTGATCCCTGGGGATCCCCTGGCGCCTCCGACCGGATTCTGCTCCACTCATCACAACATTCTGAGCTTTGCCATTTAGACAGTTCTTGATCCACCTCACTGTCCATTCACCTAACCCACATGTCCTGCCTGAGCTTACATAAGAGGATGTTGTGGGAGGAGTGTCAAAAACCTCGCTGAAGCCAAGGCAGACAACATGCCCTCATCAACCCATCCTGCCATGCCATCACAGAAGGTATCAGATTGGTCAAGTAGGATTTCCCATGCTGACTATTCCTGATGACCTTCTTGTCTTTTACATGCTTTGTGATGACCTCCAGAATGATCTGTTCCATCACCTTTCCGGGGACTGGGGTGAGGCTGACTGGCCAGCAGTTTCCTGAGTCCTCCTTCTTGCCCTTTTTGAATGGGAAGTAGCACTGGCTTGTCTCCAGTCATCAGGCACCTCTCCTGTTCTCCATGATTTTTCAAAGATAATGGAGAGTGGTTTAGCAACAACATCTGCCAGCTCCCTCAGCACCTGTGGGTGCATCCCATCAGGGCCTGTGGATTTATGGTGTTAAATCTGCCTCACCAATCTCTAACCCAGCCCTCTGCAACCAAGGGGAAGTCTTCCTTTCTTCAGCCTTCCTCTCTCACCTCCAAGGTCTGGGATTCCTGAGGGCTGGCCTCTGCAGTAAAGACTGAGGCAAAGAAGGCATTCAGTAAGTCCACCTTCTTTGTGTCTTCCATCCAACAAGACACTCTCTGATTCAGCAGCAGCCCTACATTTTCCTTGATATTCCTTTTGCTGCTGATGTACTTGTAGAAGCCCTTCTTGTTGTCCTTGATATCCTTTGCTGGACTCAATTCCAGGTGAGCCTTGTCCTTCCTCACACATCCCTGCATATCTGACAGCATTCCTATGGTCTTCTGATGTGGCCTGTCCCTTTAGCCACATCCTAGAAATTTCTTCCGTCTGTTTATGATTTGCTAGATGATCCCTGCCCATCCATGCATGTCTCCTGCTGTCTTTGTTTTATTTCTTGCTCGTGGGGATACACTGGTCTTGATCTTGGAGGAAGTGATGCTGAATATTGATCAACTCTCTTGCACTTCCTTCTCTTCTAGAGCCCTATCTATGGGATTCCTCTAAGCAGTTCTTTGAAGAGGTTGAAGTTAGCTCTCAGGAAGTTTAGTGTTCTAGTCCTGTTTACTGCTTTGCTTCCTCCACACAGGATCCTGAGTTCCACCATTTCATGGTCACTGCAGCCAAGGCTGCCCCCTACCATCACATCTTCAACCAGTTCCTCCTGGTTTGTTAGTATAAGGTCCAGTAACACACCTTTCCTTGTTGGCTTTTACGCCACTTGTGTCAAAAAATTATCTTCAATAATCTATAGGAACTTCCTGGACAGCATGTACCGAGCCATGTTGTCCCTCCAACAAACATCAGGGTGGTTGAAGTCCCCCAGGAGAACCAGGGCCTGTGATCATGAGGCTATTTCCAGCTACCCATAGAAAGCTTCATCAACTTCCTCCTCCTGATTAGGTGGCCTGTAGTAAACACCCACAACAGTGTCACCCATATTAGCCTGTCCCTTAATTCCTACCCATAAGCTCTCAACTCATTTGTCTGCCCCTGGCTATAGCTCATTGTATTCCAATTGCTCTCTCACATAAAGAGCAATTCCACCACCTCGCCTCGCTGACTAAACCTTCCTAAACTCAAACCATTTTGTGATTGCAACTACAAAATACTAAGACAGCATTGCAACGGGTGCTACAGTCTTGATTATTTAAAGTGCAAAAGCATAACCTGCACAGAGAAAGGGTTACTTCTCTGTACTACTACTGCCTGCAGTCAAAAAAGTCTATGAAGCCAGCACAAATAGCCTAAGAAAACCAAGTTCACCTAGATGAAGAAAAAGCAAGTCAGTCTGAGATACAGGCAGGGGCACCATATTGTGCTGGACTATAAAGTTTGTTTAACGTCCTTTATAATCTGTTTCTCATAACTTTATTAACCAAGTTTGCCCATATATTGAGCTCATTTGTGTAGACAAGTGAGCAAAAGGAGAACAGCACTGACCTACCAAGGCTATTCAGAAGAGACAGGGGAGGAAGAGGTGGATTGAGTGTGAAGAGTTGCCTCTGATGAACAGCAATGAACAAATTGAAAGCCTGTTGGTAAGAATCAGAGACTGAGGCAACAAAGGAAACCTTGTGGTTGGTGTCTACTACAGGCCCCTGATCAAAGGAAGCCTATTGATGAAGCCTTGTTGCTCCAGCTACAGAAGGCATCGTGTTCACAGGCTCTTGTCCTGTTGGGACTTCAACCACCCCGGCATCTGCTGGAAAAGTAGCACAGCAAGCTGTAGGCAATCCAGAAGACTCCTGGGATGCATAGATGATAACGTCTTGAGCCAGGTATTAAGCAGCCCTACCAGAGGGAATGCAACAATGGACTTGAGGGTTACAAACATTAAGTGAGCTTGTCAGGGACATCAAGATTGGAGGCAGTCTGGGCTGTGGTGATCATGCATTAGTGGAGTCCTCAGTCTGAAGCATATGGGTCAGGTAAGGAGTAAAGTTGGGCCCCTGAATTTTAGGAAAGCAAACTTTCAGCTCTTCTAGAAGATGGTCAATATCTTGTCTCTCCCTTGTGAGACTGCCCTCAGGGATAAGAGAGTGGAACAGAGCCAGCAGATCTTTAAGGAAGTCCTCCACAGAGTGCAAGAGCTAGCAACTCCCAGGAGCAAGAATTCAGGCAAGGAAGGCAAGAGACAACATGGCTGAGTAGGGAACTGCTGGTCAAAATAAAGGGAAATAAGCAAATGCACAGAGAGTGGAAATGAGGACAGATAGCCTGGGAAGAGTATAGAGTTGAAGTTTGATTGTGTTGGGATGGGGTGAGGAAGGTCAAGGCGAAGCTGGAACTAAACCTGGCAAAGGAAGAAACGAATCATAAGAAGGGCTTCTACAGGTATGTTAATCAGAAAAGAAAGATCAAAAAAGGTGTATCCCCACTGATAAACAATGTTGGTAAACTAATAACAGTGGATGAAGAGAAAGCTGAGATACTCAACAACTTTTTTGCCTCAGTCTTCAATGTCTACCTCTCTTCCCATACCTCTTGAGTGGGTGGACAGTAGAATAAGGACTGCGGAAGCAGTTGACTGGACTGGCAGCCAACCTATCCAATTCTCCCCCTACAGCTGCCTTTACCAGAAATTACCAGTGTTTTTTACATAAAACTTGCGAGTCAGCTGAATTGTACCTACACAGGTGAAGCGAAGATCCCCACCCTTTGTGTTAAAATGGTCATACAGTTTTATGTTCTTTCTTGTTTCTATGTGCATCTGTCAAACTTTTGAAATTGCTGGCATGCGCTACTAATGGGAATTTTAATTGTTCCATTTTCAAATGTCAGATTTTCCACAGGTGAAGACTTTTTTGAGAGCCACAGTTTCAAAGAATTGGATCTTTCATTTTTGCTTGGGTTTTTCCACAGCATTAGCATGTTTTGCTGTAAAGAGGTCATTAAAAACAGCTGCAGGCATATAACTGCTTTGATTGTGGATTAGGAATCAACATGTAGGAATAAATGACAACAGCATGAATATTTAGACTGTGGCATCTTGGACTCAATCTGTAACTTATTAGCTGACATATGGGTCTGGGCAAGACCAAGTGATCTTAGGCTGCATTACCTCCTCTTATGTGTCTGTCCATATTAAACTTATTAAAGGAACTCAGCTTCAGGTACACAGGGAAATATGAAAGTTTGGCATTAAGTTTTATCAACCCATGGTGCAATGGATCACACTGGCTGGATTTGGTGTTTTACTTCTAATCAAAGAAAAAGACCTGTATTTTCCTCTTCTGACATTCTTTAAAAGAAGGGTTTTACCAGTGGTGAAGTTATTCTGCAATATCTGAATGCATTGAAAATAGAAAATTCATAATTGTATCTAACTCCACATTTTGGCTTCTTACCATGCTAAACATATACTATGGTGAAGATTAATTTTTGGCTGGAAGGTAAAAAACATCTTTGTTTCTCTGGCTAACACAGCTCATTTTCCACTAAAGATAACACAAAACATCTGCAAAAGCTGCTGAATTCCACATTTTTTGTCAATATTTACATAGGCTTTTCATTGAAAACTTGAATTCTTTCTGCACCATCCAGTGTCAATTCCAGTCCATTATCCACTTTTGCTGTCTGTCACAGAAAACATGCATTCATGTTTAACTGATGTTTATTGCCAAGAAAATTAATTCTAGGAACAGAATAAAACATTTTCTTGAACTGAAATGCAATATGTAATAATTCAAACTTCTTTAAGCAACAGCTCTACCTGCTTTGATTTTTCTTCCAAAACAAATGCTCTTGAAAAAATGTCAGGTGAAAGGACATCACTGAAGGACAACGTCCAGAACTTGCAGGGGACTTGCAGGCCAGCAGCCAGCCAGACCTACAAACCCACAAAACAGCTTGACATGCAGTGCTTTGCAATGCCAGGTTTCTCGCCGCAAACTATGGTAAATTCAGTTCCAAGTGTTTAGCCCACTACCTCCACGTTTATCCAACAGTAAGCAGTTGAAATATTTGTGACTAACATCAGCCTGCTGCCATCTTCTGGTGAAAAGTTAGGACATTAAACAATCACAAATACAATTGTTCCCCTTACCTTTGAATTTTATCCCACAGGAAGGCAATGTGATATTACTGGTGCAGTAATTACTTAGAGAGAAACAAGCAGGTTAGTGATCTCACAGGGATTAAGGATCCTCTTCATAAATCCTCTTGAAGTGACCCTTCACCATATGTGCAATAATCTGGACAGTGACTGTCAGAAGGATAAAATGTCTTCAGCATTAAGTAGTAATTATTATTTTACTTGGAAAAATACACCAATCCAACAATAATAAAATACACTTCAGAAGCCATTTATGTGTATGCACTGTAAATAGGAGAGACAAAAACAACAGTAAAGTCAGGAAAGGCAGAATTTGCTACTGAATAGGCAAACCCAAGCTATGTTATAAACAGATGCCACTCCACTCATTTCTCCTTCTTTGCCCAAAGCATATGCAGCTGGGAAATGTTCCTCATAAAGTGATATATCCTGGGACATGAGAAACCAGCACATGATAATTATAAGGGGAGATATAGGATTCACATGCCCAAGTTACCACTTCAGGTATTTGCAATGACGAGCAGGAAATTCTTCAGCCAACTTATCCAAGGTAAGGATAAGGAATACAGAGAAGAAAATTATCTTAAACGCACTGCGGTTTTAGTTTTGATGCCTGGAATATCCAGCAGAAAGATGATGGCAATTTGCAGTCCCTTAAACCATTTAATCCAACCATAACTAGCTTTTGATGAACTGAAGTTGACTAAAATGAAAAACTATTATTTAGAGTGCCACCATTTCAAACATTTACATGAACATGCTCACAGTAAGATTACTCAGAAGGCAGTGCTGCCATAAGTCAACAGAGCATTGAACATTACTAGGGATAAAACATGCAGGTCTGAAAATTCCTCTGACAGACCAAGCAACAAAAATGTCAGATGCATAATTTCCAGAATGCTTTACAAGGCTGAAAAAAATAATACAGTATTCATATGCAGTACAGCCACTCCTTTCCTTAGAGAATAGGAAATACAGACCTTCTGGTGCACTCAAATATAAGCTTCACCACTACCTGAAAAGCAAAAAAAATTGATTGATCACATCTGACTTCAGAAACCACAACATCTATACCAGTACCTATCTTCAAAACTCTGCCAAGAGCAACTATCTGTACCATCATAACACTGACCCAAGTTGTAATAGAAAGAAACAGTAATTTTTGACAGCTGCTTATCAGAAGGTACTGATGGAAATAATCCT